GGCCACTCCCTAACACCCAGACAATTGTGTTTAGGACAGCTTGCCTGCCACAGGAGCACTCTAGATTTGTGGCTTAGGAGCGCACCACCAGCCATATTATAAACTCCGATTGCTCTACAGAAAACATGCCCAGCCCTTTCCTGTAGACACTGTCTAACTGAGGCCTTTGAATACATCTTCCTCCAGGCCTCCCAGGCTCTGGGGAGATCCTGATCCCAACGATGCCTGAGTCCACAAAAGTGGATAATACACACTACTAAAAACCCAGACAACTACTAATTTCCATTAACATTTCTGCCCCTCCGACCCAGCCAGAAAGAAGAAGGGAGTCAGAAGGTTGAAGAAATTGACTCCAAAAACTGAAGAAAAATGTCCATCTCCGTGCGGTTATGAGCCCGCAGGAAAGCTGAGACAGGAGGTGGGTCTGGATGCAGAGAGACACAAAGCTTATCTCATTATCTTCAGAGAGATGGGAGACAGCTTTTTGAATTCCCTCCGCGACTCACAAAGCTGTGGGCTATCCCGACGACTGCCCCTGAAAAACGTCTGGAATTCTGGAATTCTGTTTGACCCAGGTCTGTCTATAGGCGCCCTTCCTAAACCATGCCTCCCTGAAACTTATCTGTCACAGGAGCTTACAGACCACCAGACGGCCCTAAGGCCAGGCAAGCACAGAGACCCCTGCGCCTAGCGGCTGGCATGTCCTGCATGGCCCACCAGGCGTGACATGAGGCCATACCCTCCTAGAAGCAGCACCGAGGGCCACAGCCGGGTTTCTGTAAATCAAGGTCAACCTCACTCTCGCGATGCTGTTTTCCTCTCAGGGGCTCCCATCCACGATCACGGGCCGCCAAGAGTAGAGAGCGAGCAGGGGAAGAGGGAGAAGAGCCCGGGGCCCCCCATAGCGCGACCTGCAGAGCAGCCTCCTTCGGGAGCGCTTGTCCTTGGCTGGCAGCCACCACCGAGGCCACGCATGCAGAAGCAGAAAGGGCCGCAGGGGCAGGATCCACGCAAGACCTCCCGGCAGCTGGGGCGCAGAAGCTTCGGAGCAGCAGACCGGCTCTTCCCAGGCCGCCTTCCATCAAGAACTTATTAAGTAGGGGGTGAGCGAGGGGGGATGGCCGGGGGGGTGGTTAAGTGTTGATCTGTCGCAGAGCAGTGCTACTTACCCCCAGATCTTTGGGGTTTGGAATCACTTTATTGATCTGAAGATTGTGTTCTTTGGCATTGTGACCCTGTTTGGACTTAGGGTTAATCAGGAAACGCTGCCGGGGAGGGCTCCTTGTAAGCACCGCGAGCGGCACACTTCCCCCAGGGTAGCCTGGGCTCGGGCCAGCCGGGAACCGCCTCCTGCGTAGGCCTCTGGCTCCCCGGCTGGACCTGGGAGCTGTCTGTGGTGCTAGGAGGTAGACGCTGGGAGGCCGGCCATGAGGAGGGACAGACGAGAAGTAAAGAGGACAAACAGAATGGCGCAACCCAGCACACTCAAATGACAGAGGCCTTCACATGCTGGCTACAAGGAAGCAAGGCGAAGGGCTTTCTGACTTTTCTCACCTCCCCAAGATAATGGGGCTGATTTTCTAATGCAAAGACCAGTGACGTCTCCCTTTCTCTCACACACAACTCTGGAGCCCACCCACTCACCATCACCCAACCCACACACTTACTCTCATCCAGTCGGGAGCACGTTGGTATAGAGGCGACATGCAGAGGCGCTGGGCACTGGGCCCCAACTCAAAAAAAAAGTGGCAGAGATCCCCGCCCCCAACCCCCGAAAGTAGGACTGGACAAAGACTTAGCGAGAGAGTGGAGATGTCTGAAGAAGTTGGCTCAGAGTCCATCAGGCCAGCCCTGGGGAAGGTCCCACTGGCCCGTAGGCCCATGTCTTTCAGTGGTCAGCAGCCAGAACACAGGGCAGGTCAGCTTTTCCCCAACAAGGGTTCCAAGCTTAGGGGGGGGGGGAAGCCAGCTTGATCAGCTCCTGGCCAGCCTGTGAGCGGTGAAAAGTCAGGGCTTGTTTTCCAAGCATGTTGACTTGGAGCCCTGCCTGGCTTTTTTCAGAGACCAAGCAGAGCCCCTTCCAGTGTGTTTGTGGTAATCTCGAGGACTAAAGTTCCCCTAGCCCTGAGAAGGGCTTTTCCCAGTATTTTTAGAAAGTTAAAAATATAGCAAACCAAGCTGCCATGTTTAAGGGGTAGGGACTGAGCAAACTCTCCTGAAGGGTTGCCTAGACAGGAGGCAGATTGTGGGTGGAAGGGGGGGGATAGACTTTGTCTAAGGGGAAGCTGTTTTTGCATCAACACAGGAAATTGGCTAATTTGCCTCTGTGTGGGCTTTCCTCTTTTTTGGGGGGGGGAGAAATAAATTGATACAGGGAGGTAAATCTATTTGCCGGGGTTGGAGCCAAGCGGCAAGTGTTACTTTGCAGTTTATTGAAAATGGCTTAGCTGGGCTGCAAAGGACTGGCTGCTGGCCAGAAACTTTCCCTTCTTCCCTAACAAGTGGACTTCCGATCTGTGGATGTGTGCTGTGTTTGCTCCCACTGCTATCATGGCCAGAAAGCCTTGGGGATATGGACCTCTGAGGGGTTTCAAACATCCCTCTGAAACAAGTTCGTTTCCCTATGTTCTGATGGGAGGCAAAGAAGGCCACCAGGAGTTTCTGTTTGTCTAGACTTCACTTAATCAGTCCAGAGAGCAGCCATAATTTGCCCTTCGGACAGTAGGGCAAGCAGGAGAATACAAAGGGGGCAGCTCCCAGTAGCAGCCACTCCAGGGAAGCCTTAGCCAGCTAAGTCTCCTGGAAGAAAGGCACATTAGCTGTCCCCTTGCTTGCCACCCATTAGCCATCACCCCACCCCAAACTTAACTTGGCCGGCACAGAAGCACAGAGGGACCCCATGGAGGGGGAAAGAAGCAGTTCTGTACTTGACTCTCAAGCAGTAGTTTAGGGGCTGCAAAGGTCGGAAAAGAACCTTCTTCCTGGATCAAGTCCTCTTGCAACAACACCCAATCTACCGCAGAGCATCAAGTAGCCAAAACCAAAGCGACAAATGTAGGAAAGAAGGAGGGACACTTTCAGGTCGGTGGTCTAGGAAATGCAAGAAAAAACGCGACTGTGAAGAGAAGGTGAGCTGGCAGGGACTTTGATGTATACAAAACGATCACTGACAGCAGCGAGAGCCTGGAGAGCGCTGCCCTGCCCTGCCCACACACGCAGTCCAAGTTCAGGCTGAAGCTGGGTACCGAGGCCTTGCCTAGGCGTATGGGCTGGCTCATACATCCCCATCCTGGGTGATCCCTTATGTGGATTCTTTGCACGCATGAAGGGTATGCTCTCCTAGGGCCTCTTCTTTGGCTGTGAGCTTACCAAGCTCAAGTCCAGCGCGGTCAGAAACTATTTCACATCCTAGCACTTTAGAAAATGCTTTTGTGGGCTTAGGCACATTTCCTCTAACCTGCTGAAACTCGATTTAAAAAAAAAAATCCAACCAAAGCTAAAATGGATGGAACAGGAGGGTCTGTCTGCATTGGGCCTTTCCGCTGGACAGAGTGATGTCCTATTTCCCACCAAGCCCAGCTGTCCCGGCTCAGCAGGAAAAAAAAAAATTGAAGGGCCAGCCCAGACTCTTGGTAGAATCATAAAAAGACCAGGATCATTTTGATTCAATTGATGAGCTGGAGGGAAATCTTCGAGCCACTCCCTAATTAGCCATGGTCTGATCAAGGTGCCTGGGGCAATTTACTCCTTGCTCTCACCTCTTGCCAGCCTCCTCTCTCCCTCCCATCCCTCTTCAGTTTACTTCCTGCATCACTACATCTTAAACACACACACACACACACACACACACACACACATTTTTTAAAGCAAAGCTTAACGCGCGTCAAGCAAAGTCTGGATGTGGATTAGCTTTGTGAGAGACCAAGGACAGAACTCAGGCTAGAGGCGTGGGGGGTGCTGGTAGGAGCAGTTCTCCTCGGTGCTGCGGAGGAAGGGACCTGCCACCAAACTGCTGCATAGCTGTGTCCAGTCTGCCTCTCGGCCTGCCGTGAAATCCTTAGTGCTGAGCTTGGGAAAGAGTTAGCTCTTGGCACCTGCAGCCTAAAATCAAGCTCTGTCCCTGGTGCGCGCGCGCGCGCGCGCGCGCGCGCGCACACACACACACACACACACACACACACTGAGAAAGCCCGAAAGGACCTCCTCCACACGCTGGGCAGGGTCTTTCATCTTGGGAGCCAGCCCTTCCAGAAGCACGCATAAAAATACTTGGCAAGCTTGTCTCTTACTAGAGTTTCACGTTGTATTCCCGCTCCGCAGATCCAAGCACAGAGAACTCATTAGGGCGAGCGACTAGGTGAGGGGCTGGGGGGCTGGAAGGTCGCCGTTGGGGACTAAGAAGGCAAGGATCAAAGCGGCGACAAGGGTTTGTTAGCGGGGGCACTCGGCGTCCCCCGGGGCGTCCTAATTGCTCGGCCTGCAGCCTCCCGCTCGCAGGCTGTCCGGCTGTGCGAGCGCCCAGCCGCGGGGCGGCTGAACAGCTGCAAGGCCGGCCTAGTGTCCGCCTGCCGCCCGCCCGGCTCCTGCTGGCTTCGCTGGCCGGTCCTCGGGACACTCACAGCCCCAGGAAGAGTGCGAGAAGAGGAGGGGGCAGACAGAAGAATCCCCACAAACCGCAAAGCCTTCAAGTCCAGGCGCGAACAGCAGCTAAAGCCAGCTGCCTACTTAGCTAGCCCTAACAGTCCACAAACAAGAATTCATTCTTTAAACCATTCGCATAAAAAGACAGGCACTACACGCAGTCTATGTAGCTCAGAAGAGGCAGGCAGCCCGAAGTCGACAGACTGTGCAGTACGACTGATGGGATATTTTCTGTGCCCGAGTCACGCGTCTCATCATTAGTGCGAGCTATTTTAAGTAAAATCAGCTCCCTGGGATTTCATCGCTTGTTAAAAAAAGATAAACTTTATTTTCGTAATTTTCAATCACAAAAAAATCTATACTTTTGTCTAAGCATTTATTTTACTGAATCAAAAAAGACATGAAAAGGAAAAAAATCATGTTTTTTTTACTGACGTATATAAGTGACTCTGTTTTGGACAACATATAATAAATATGATATATCACTTATCACTCAGTCTTTCAAATGTACACTTTTTTCATATTATGTAGCATGCCACTTTTCCAAAAGAAAAAAAAAAGCTCATGAGAAATCAGTGCAAAGTTCTCTGCCCCCCCTTCACTGCTCTGAGGCAGATCGGATGTCCAAGGACCACCTTCTGCCTGGGGGAGGAGGGGGGGTGAATTTCGGGCTGTCTGTCCAGCAACAATTCTCTCCGCTAGAAGGTTCCTCTCCAGGCCCTTCTCAGCCCTCCCCCCTCCCTCCCTTCCGTGTGTCCCTAAAGTCATTTTGTTTAAAAAAAAAAAAAAAGAACTCGAGGGTTTGTTTTTTGTGGGTGTTTTTTTCACTTACTGGTTGCACTGTCAGTGGGGTTCAGTATTTTTCGCCAGTCACACTGTTGGGGAGCTTTTGCATCCCTGCCTCTGAGGGGGTAGGCGGAGAGCAGAGGGCTGGCTGGTCCTTGGGGACCCCAGCCCACCGGTGAGCTCCCCCCTTTTACTCCTCTGCCTCTATTCCTGTTGACCTGGTGCGGGGAGAGCCGGGGGTGGGCGGGATGGGAATCTGAAGGGCTCCTTCCTCACCGAGGATGCGGGGTGCCTGGGATGGGATTGGACAAAGGGTTGAGGGCCGGCTGTCCCCCGGGCCCCAGGCCGTGGATGAGCACGCGGGGCACCAGAGGCCGCTGCAGCTGCGGGTGGGGTGCCGGAGGAGTCCGGTACATACTGCTGTACATGGCCGCGGCCGCCGCGGCCGCCGTGGTGCTGTCCATGCTGCCCAGCAGGCTTGGGTGGTAGAAATAAGGCGACGGAAACATCCTCTGCAGCGCGGAGTAGTTCCCGGCCTCGGCCAGCAGCTCCAGGCCCACGGCGGTCTGCCGCTTCCATTTGGTTCTGCAAGAAAAGCAGTGAGGAGCGGGCGGCTTAGGAGGACGGTCCCGGGGCACCGAGACCGCCGCTGCCCGCCCTCTCCTGCCCTCCCTCCCTACTCCAGGAAGGCCTTGGGGGAAGCTCCAGGAGCGGGGCTCCTGCCCCAGCCGCCCCGATTCGCTCGCAGGAGGACGGCCCAAACCCAAAATCAGTTCTTCTCGAAGGACGCCTTCTACGCGTGGAGGCGCTCGCCCATGGTGCCTTCCCGGGCCCCTGTGCTCCACTGCCCGGCCCACGGTTAAACTCTGCCCCGCAACTTTCCTCCTGGAGGCCAAATGAGACCACCATCTTTCCACCAGCTGCCTTCCGTTGGCTCTCCCCCCACCCCGCTCCCCCCACTCCTCATTCCCCTCCAATGTGCGCTGACCAGCAACCTAAAATGTTGGCTCTCGGCCCCTCCCCCATCCCATGGCACCCGAGAAAACCAAAACCAGAAACAAAGGGCAACGGGAGACTCGGGGGTTCGTACTCTCGCAGGGCTGTGGAGTACAACGCTTCCTTCCCGTCTTACCGGGTTCCGAGCTTAGCTAGCGCGCAGAAGGGCGACATGGTTTAAAAGTGGAATTGGTTTGAGAGCCAGCTCTCTCCCTGGGGAACGGCACCCCTGACCATTCTAGGTGGGAGGAAATGGGCCTCAAGACATTTCCTCCTCGAAGAGAAAGTAGTACTTAAAACCTGTTAGCCATTTTTTTTTTATCCCTGGGTCTGCTCCCTCCACCCCACCCACCCGGCCACGGGCACTAAGCTAGAAAGAGAGAAGATCTACTCTCAAATGCCCTAGGAGGCATGGCGAGCCTGGTGGGGCATCCATACCCGGCAGCTCCTGCCAAATTAATAAACATGTCGCCCGTTTTAAATTGGCTACAAATGACACTAATGTTTTCCGACAGAATTAGGGTGGCTGAAACCGTATGTAATGAGACAGAAAATTATGGTGAGAGGACAACTGGATAGGCATTTCCAACCCCACTTACGAGCGATTAGAACACAAACGACAGAGGGGCAGAGAATTGAGATGGGAGAGTCGAGTGCCAGGTGTGGAGACAGGACCTTAGCCTCAACTCCTATCGCCCAAGTTTGGCCTTAGCCACCAGGGTGAGGCCAGCCACTATCTTAACGTCTTTTTTTTTTTTTAGAGACTCGGTGGTGTGCCATGAGATCTGCCTCCTCTCCCCACCCTTTTCCCATATAAGATGGCAGAAGCAGCCTGCACAGGGAGGACACACACACACACACACACACACACACACACACACACACCTTCCCCCACATACAACCAGCTGCCCTACTCTCCAGGCCACGGCCTCCAGTCCAACTCTAACCCAGATGGGCTTCCCTAATCTTCCATGCTATGGCAACCAAAACTCAAGACTCGGACCTTGGATTTCCCAACTGCCCTGCGGTTAGGCCAAGGCTGGTAGGACAGCCAGCTGTGTGGGGACTCCCATAGTTAGGATGTGTTGCCCACTGCAGACATTTGGAGCCAAGCTGCGGCAGGTCTGAAGGTGCCCTGTGCTAGCTCGCTCGCTCGCTCGCTCACAGGCTCTTCCTGTCAGTTTGCACCGATGTTTCAATTTGAGAAGGTGGGGCTTGGTTGATTTGAAGACAAAAAAAAAAATGGGGAAGATTCTGGTAGCTCAAGATTCATAAGAGAAAGAACTGCCCTTTGAGACATTTAGAGACCCGGAATTATCCAAACTCCGGTGCCCCCGGGCTCGCTCGTGTGGAGGTGTGGCTAACCCTTGCCTTAAAGCACCCACTGCAGACCCTCTGAGTCTCGGTCCCTGGCCTCCCGAGAGCAAGGAGGGCAGACAACTCGGTGACAACGGCCCGGACAGCAGACACCCAGCCGCTCTCCTCACCTGCGGTTCTGGTACCAAGTCTTGACTTGGGTGTCAGTGAGGTTCAGGGCAGCTGCCAGGTCCATGCGGTCCTGGACACTCAGGTACTTCTGCCTCTCGAAGCTGCGCTCTAGCTGGTTGAGCTGATGGTCCGAGAAAGCAGTCCTGGCCTTTCGAGGTTTCTTGGCTCTCACGGGGGGACTCTCCCGGCTGCTGGTAATCTCACGGTCTCCCTCTTCCTTTGTTCCTAGGACAGAAACAGCAACACAGCCCTGTTAAGTCGGCCCACCAGGCACACACTTCCACATTCCCACATGGGGTGCTGATCTGGGGGGGGGTCTATATTCAGCACCCTTCACTAGGCCTTAGACAGAGTGGAGGCCTGAGCGAGTTCCCCAGGTATTTGATCCCCTGCTAACTATTTTTCTTTGATTTGAGAGGAGACGATGTGCCCTCTCTTTATGATTTTCAAAGGGACTTTCTTTCTGTGGTACTCCCCCAACATCTTTCTACTCTGTTTTTATGACAGGCAGACATCACAGTTGCTTTTAATTCCCCCTCCCGCCCCTGCTAACTGGAAGTTAGAAGCCTTTGTGGTTTTTGTTGTTGTTGTTGTTTGTTTTGTTTTGTTTTCCGGGTGCATTCTGCAGCCTCCTCTGTCCCAGATCTTCTTCCAGCTTCAGAGAGAATATGTCACCCAGACACTGAGCTGAGCTCAGAAAACACTTGAGTCCATCCAGGTGACAGTGCAGAAATTTCCCGATTCTATTTGTCAACTTCGGTTTTTTTTTTTTTCTTTCTGAAATGCTGGGAAATCGATACGTCAATCCCTCTCTGTTTGTACCGGTTTGTGCGGCACTCCTTGATCTTCCCGGCAGGAAGAACAATAATCTCTCTAATTGACCCACTGGGGAGGTTGGTGCACGAAAAATCGCCAGACCAGACTGTACATCTGTTTGGGGCACTATTATGCTAATGCTATAAACAGTAAAATGAAGACCCCATCTCCTACCTTCCAGACAGCAATCTTTACAGAGAATCAAGCATTAATGATAATAATATAGTAATAAATAATAATAATAGCAATAAAAACTTATCAGTAAAGGGTGGAAAAATATCCTCCCTGGTGTGTTAAAACTCTTGCAGTGCAAAGACCAGAACGGTTACTTACGAAATTGCCCAAGAAGAAAACAAGTGTCAAAGGATAATTTTCATTGCTGTCTTGATTTTACAAGAGCAAATTCAATTCTCATAAAATTTATTTTTCATAACTGTTTCGTTATCGCAAAGGGACAGAGTTGATTAGGTCACAGACATTTTGTTGGGGGGTACTGATGAAAAGGGGTGTTTTTTAAATGGATTATTTTTTTCCTGTGTTAATCACCAGCTGGTAAATATAAATTGCTCCCGCACTAATGTTGAAAATTTGTCTAACACTAAATCAGACAGTCTCTGTGATTATTTGGACAATACTGGGAGGGGATCATTTGCATTCAGGAATAAAGATCAACTTATGATTACAGACCCGGGGCAACCACAACTATCAGTTTCTCTCCACCCCCTCCGATTCCCATCCCCAAGGTCTCATCTTAAAAAAAAAAAATATGAAACAACCTCAAGTTCTCCCCTGTTTTCAAAGAAAAGTATCTACTCCCAGTAGCCATCCCTCTCCCGGCCCATTTACAATTAAGTAAAACAAAGAACGGAGCTGGGTGGCGGCGGTGAAGGTCGTGGGGTAGAACTATAACCAGCTGAGCTTGGGGTACACTTGCTCAATCAATCGCGCGCGCCTAGGCCCCTCTCTAGCTTCCAAGCCTCATCACCCGGGCAGCCCCCCGGAGCAACTCACCGTGGCATTTGATGTCGCTTTGGGAGTCCTCCCTCTTGTCCAGCTTGGCTTTGCTGTCCTCCTGCTCCAGCTTTGGCCTAAAGCTCTCGTGCGCCGCGTTGCCCTCCTGCTTCGGCGTGTGGTGCGGAGAGACGCTGGTGCTGTAGGGCGCGCAAGCCGCCAGAGGTTTGCTGTCCCCCAAGATGTCCTTAATTAGAAACGAAGAGGTAGAAGTCCTCGGGGCCGAGGCGGCCGAGCCCAGCTGTTGGGCTGCCGACTGTGGCTGCGGCGGCGGCGGCGGCGGCTGCTGCTGGGGCGGCGAAGGCTGCAAACTTTGCGCGGGGCCCGCGGCTTGTGGCGGCGGTGGCTGTTGGTTATGGAGGAGGTGGTGGTGATGCTGAGGCCCGTCCGTCACAAGATGCGGCTCCGGGGGCTCCAAGGTGACCGAGATCGGAGAAGAGGGCGCGGTTCCCACGGTATCAATCTCCGAACAGGGTGACGGGGTGGCCTGGCTCCTAAAATCCGTGGTCCTAGCTTCACCGAGAGGGCGGAAATCTCCGTTCATCATGCCGGGGCTGCCGGAACCGGCGCCGGACAGAATCGTGTCTATTCCAAAACTCGACCCGCTGGCCCCTTCCATTGCTGTCATTTCTACATGAGGTCCACGCCACTCCGCGGATCACCAACCGCCCGGGACCAAGCAAGAAAGGGGGAAACTATCGGTCTGTTTTAGACGCTAAAAATAAAAGCGCTGGTCCTGCTTTTAAAAAAATTTAAAAAGCGCGGAGGGGAAGGAAGATAGTGGCAATCTGTAGACACTTTCGACTCAACTTTTTCCCGTATGCGAACCGTGAAAGGAAAGAAAGACGCGAGAGGCGGAAAACCAAAGGGGAAAACAAAAAATGCCGCGAGCAGGAAGGTGCTCTCCGCTGGACCCCCGCGCACGTGGGCGGCGGCGGCGGTACCCAGGCTACGGCGCTGGCGGCCAGAGGGACCCCGCCGCCGCCACCGCCACTGCCACCGCCGCCGCCTGGGTCTGCCCACTGCCCGGTCCCGGGCGGCGGCGGCGGCGGCGGCGGAGGCCGAGGCAGGTGCAGCGACCACTAAGCCCCGGCGGCCCCCAGAGGTGACCGCCGCGCGCGCGGCCCGGCCGCTCCGGAGCCGAGTTTCTGAACTTTCTTGGGAAAGTTGCGGGAGCGGCCTCGGCCGCCGGCGCCCCGGGAGGAGGAGAGGGAGCGAAGGCAGGAGCAGGCGCGGGCGCAGGAGACCGCGGACAGGCGGCGCGCCCGGCGACTCCCGCCGCTGCCCCGCGCGTTGGCTTGTCATCCGCCGGCTCGCGGGCGGCGCCGACCCCCTCCCGTGACGTCACGGCCCCCGCCGCCGCTCCCCGCCCCGCGCCCCCCGCCGCCCGGGCCCCGCGCCCCATTGGCCACTCCGGCACCAGCGAGCGACGCCGACGTGCGGGGGAGCCAATGGGCGCGCGCCTGGCCAGCCCGTCAGCAGCGCGCCTCGAACCCCGCTGCTCTTTTGAGAACCCGGACCTCCGTGTGCCCGCAGCCCTGAGCCCGACGCCTACTCCGGGGGGTCCAAGTGGTACCCACCGTAACCAGTGACCGGCAAAGGGAGATGGGGGAAGGACAGAGGGGCCCAGGAGAAAGGGAGCCCGGGGGAGGGAAGCGAGGACTGGGTAACGATTCGTTAGACGTGCCCGTGGTGGAGGCAGCGGTGGAGGGTGAGTGGAGAGGCCGCGAGGGGCAAAAGGATCCCGCGGCTCCCCGTGGCCAGCTGCGCTGCCGCGCTCGCTCTCTCGCACGGTTCCCAAACACGCTCGAGTGATCCAGAAACACAAGGAACAGGGGAAGGAGGTGCTTGGGGGACCCCACGGGGAAGTGTGTGACACTCGGGGGAGCCGGAGCTCCTCGTGGGCCCCGCAGCCTCTGCGCTCTGATCTCCCCGCAGGAGCCCCGTGCGCTCTCGCTCGGCCCAGCAGGGTAGCAGGCCCTGGAGATCAATAGAACCAGGTCCCCCTCCTTGACCCCCTGTCGGGGAGATTCTGGCCTTTGGCTCAAAATCCGCTTTGTTTCCAATCGGTCTGTGCTGGAAGAAATGCCCGACTAAACACTTTCTCCCGAGCCGGGGAGTTGGGGGGAACCCTGCCCGAGGCTTTCTCTAGTGGCGAGCGCGGCCCTGGCTCCCTGAGGTGTCCACTCTGCCTGCCATGGGGCTGCAGGGCACTAGTACCCTGTGCCCCGCCCCGCCCGGCGCCCTGCGAGCCTCCCCCTCCGGTTCCTCCATCCCCACCGTCGCAGGCCGCATATTTGGAAAGGAAACAGTCACTGTGGATCCATTTGGGACGTCGCCACGTCGGAGGGTATCTTTTCTTCAGGACGCCTCCAACCTGTCTCTTGTTGAATGTCAGAGTAATGGGAAGCGCCAGTGACAAGGCGGCGTATTACTCCTGATTAAGTGCCGTGTCAACCTAATTAGCAGAGTAATTATAAGGTGCTAATGAATGATTCAAAGTTCTTTGAGTTACATTTTACTCCAAATTACCATTTTTAAGAACCTTATGGATCTGCATGGTTGGCATCGTATCCGTGACTCGGTGTAGAATGATGCCTGGGAAAGACAGGGTTTTTAGTTGCTGTTCTGTACGTGCTGCGCTCTCTCTCTCTCTCTCTCCCTCCCTCTCTCTCTCTCTCTCTCTCTCTCTCTCTCTCTCTCTCTCTCTCTCTCTCTCTCTCTCTCTCTCTCTCTCTCTCTCTCTCTCTTCTCCCTCCCTCTCTCTCTCCCTCCCCAGCCCTATTGAGGACCCTGGAGTTATCCCTAAGTTAATGACCTCCTGAACGAACGGCTTGATTCCATAGATTTTGGAAGTGTGAGTCCCAGGCCTAGAAGGAGGAGGTGGGTGGTGGCGATTCATCCTGGGGACGTCTAGGTCTTTAATCCGGAGTTTGGGGGATCCTGCCTTACTTCAGAGTCTGTTGAGCTGTTTGGTGCCACCCCGGTGTCATTCTTCCTTACTGTCTCTGAGCAGGGACGGGAGGCTACCAAGTCCAGGCAGTTCTCTCCTTTCTCAGAAGGCGAGCAGACTTTTTTTTTTATCAGAGGAACCAGGGTTGGTGAGTCAAAGGCAAGACGTGCTGTGGATGGACGCTGGTGGCCTGAGTGGTGGCCCGAGGGACCCCAGGACCCCTCTAAAGACGTGGGGCTAAGCCCCGTGGGTGGCGATGGGCCAGCCTAGGTTAGCCCCGTGTGGGCCAGGCTAAGTTGAAGCCCCAGAGAGCCTAGACGGAGGCCTTTGGAGGGAGATCTGGGTGCTGGCCTCGCAGACTCTCCCTGGGGCTTTCAGGTTAGACCATCAAGACTGAGTTCCCTGAAGCAACTCCGAGGCCCGGACAGTCTTGGCACCCTGAGCCTCTGGCACAGTTGACCCCTGCAGAAAGGGCGGGAAGGGTGCCTGGGCCGTGGCAGAATGCAGAGGAAAAAACACCGCTACTCTTCCTTCCCGCTTGGTTATCGATTAGGGTTCCCGTTCTGACATCACCCAAGAACATCCCCCCCCACCTCCACGAGGAAGTGTGCCTTCTTCCCGCACTGGGGAGGGGGCTCAATTCACAATGAGCTCGCTCGCGGGAAGTGGGGTAGGGGGGAAACATTTAAAAATCTCCCCCCCCCCGAAACTGACGGCCCTGCACAAATCAGTTATTCTCGACCTTGATAAATAATTCATTTAAGCCTGTTTTTGTTTTGTTCCAACGCCTCCAATGTCTCAAGAGCTCAAAGGCTGGTGGCACAGCTTGTGTGGGGCGGGTCGGCAGGGTGTTTTTCTTGGAATAATTCGCAACATTAGCAGGGGAGGCGGTGGGGATATGACCCTGGGGGAGGGGGGTGGAATCTGAAGAGAGAGGAAGAGAGGAAGACTTAAGGGTGTGTTTCATGAACTCCCAAAGCGCCCTGTGAATGTTTCCGATCATATTCTGTTTTTAAGAAAATGTCAATATCAGATTTTCTCGGGCTGCATAGCTTAGAGCTTAATCTTGGGGAAGAAATCATGGCGAAGAGAATATATGTCCCTGCTTCCGGTCCGAGGAAATGTTAGAAATGCCCTCAAAAATCAAAGCCAGGTCACAAACTTAATGAACAAATCTCCCAGAGCTAGGGTTTAACTTTCCTTATTTCTTCCCCGCTCCAGATACATTTCTCTTATGCTGTTTTTTTTTCTTGAGAGAATATATATGTGTGTGTGTGTGTGTGTGTGTGTGTGTGTGTGTACACATACATACATATATACATACATACATAAATACATACCCCAAAATGCATTTTCTGGCAAAAATAGCCCACTTTTCATCTTAAAAAAAAACACTCAGTGGGGTGTGGTGGCACACACCTTTAATCCCAGCACTCTGGAGACAGAGCCAGGCAGATCTCTGAGTTCTGGGCCAGCCTGGTCTACATAGTGAGTTCCAGGACAGCCAGGGCTCTGTAGAGAGACCTGTCTCAAAATAAATAAAATAAATAAAAAATTAGACAGGGTTAATTTTGAGATTCTTTTAAACTGGAGCTTCAGATTTTTTAACAGAGTCTAATTTTGATGAACTTGAAGTGCTGTTTCTTCTCTGCCTGGTGTCCATTTGAACATTTAAAGAGTCAGTTAACCGGAATGGGGTGCAAAGGCGCCTCTCTCCACTGGGCGGCGCCAAGAACACCAAACGGAGGTACCCTGCTATTGTTTCTGCCTGTAAAAGATGCAAGATACACAAATGGGTTCTCCACAATCTAAGGCTGATTCGGCAAACCATGGTGTGACCTTGGCACCTCATGGTTAGGCCCACAGCAGGAGGTTCCTGTCTCTTTTTACAGTCTGTTAATACATTTTCAACTGCTGTAGATATTGGTGCATATTTGCTCAGAGAAATAATCTATTAGAGAGAGAAAATATGAAAACAAGGAAACTGAGTCTCTTCTTCAGTCTGGTCCTTAAACTGAAACCGGAAGAGTAGAGTCTCGGAGCAGAGGGACAAATGTAAAACTGGGGGAGGGGGGCAGAGTAAAAAGCAACAAAGTTATTCTAACAGAAGAGTTTAAACGTGTACCTAGCAATTGTATGAGACCCCAAGTTTTGAGAGATGGTTCTGGCATCCTACAATTTGCAAAGGTTATCACTTTGCCAAAAACATTAATGGGATATAAACTAGTGAAATATGTTCCCAGAAGGTAGTTAGCTGTGTGGTGCTCAGGGCAAGTGGGGGAGGCACTAACACGGGTGGAGGGAAACTTGGAGAAATAAACGTGACTTATTTTGCCTGGCTTCAACCCTTCCTGGCAAGGTTTTTAACCTTCCCCATCACTAAGGAGCTAAGGGCAGTACCCACCATCCGTTTTGTTTTGTTTTGTTTTGTTTTATGTTTCTCCCTCATTCCAATCCTTCATGTATTAGCTAATAAAATTACTGAACGTGCATTTTTTTTTGGTGGCAGGTGCTTTCATGCTCTGGAAACTGTCAAAATGAGCTTGCTACAGTGGAGACTCAGCAGAAGGCGCCCTGGGGGGAGGCGTTTGAGACAGCAGGAAGGTTTTCTATAGGAGAGACAGGGACAGGCCAGACCCTGGGATGCATCCCAAGTCGTGGGCTACGGGAAGGTTTATATGATAGCCAAAGATAAGGTCGTGCAAAACCATCCACAAAGCGGTCAAGACTGATCTACAGTCCCTGGGTGTGTGCTGGCTCAAGGGATCTCCTAGGGTAGCCGGAAGAGGAGCTAGGCTGCCTGCACCCCCACACCTGCTGTTGGAATGCGTGGCAGTTTACACAGTTTTCAGTCTCATTGCAGGAGATAGTCCGGCACCTCCCACCCCCACCCCCAAAAGAAGAACACAGTTGCTCCCCTTATCTCCATCTCCACTCCACCTCACTTTCTAGATTACCACATTCTGAAAGACTAGATGATCTTAGCAGGCCTAGGGAAAGGTCTCTTTCTAATTCCAGGGTGAAGAAAGAAAGGATGACAATGTGAAAACAGTGGAGGAGAATCTGGAGTTCCGTGGGGAGAAATCTTAATGTTACTCTAAATTGAACCGTCGTCCACTGAAGACCAGCTCCTGGAGAAGTTCCAATAGCCGCCTTGTGACACACGAGTAAAAGGAACCGTGCCATCTATGCGATGATTCTGATATCAGTTCCTGGGGTTAAAGGGACTGGAGAGGCCTCAGCAAAGGAGCTCTGGAAAAAAAAATGCCAGTCAGGGAAGGGGAAATTCATTTACGATGTTAATTAACAAGCGGCTAATTAAA